TTGGAAGCTCTGCTGAAACCTCATCAGCATCATAGTACCACACAAGCCTCCACCAGCAGACAGGTGTTGGCTGCACATGAAGTGCATTGGCTGAGAATGGAACTTGGGTCTCTTACATGGAAAAGGAGAATTCTACCACTGAACCACCACTGTCCTCATCTTTTTCTCTCCTAATCTATACAGAAGTGTTTTATTGAAAATTACAACACATTTTTTCTGGCCACCTCTCTTCATGGGAAAAAAAAAGTTATAATACAGAAAAATTTTCACTAACATTCAAAGGTTTAAGGTACATATATTTTATCCCTTACCACTAAAAATACTTCTAAAACATATGAGTCCAGCAAACAAATGCCATGGAAATGTTTACCTTCTACAGTCATCAGAGAAATGCAAATTAAAGTTCACTTGAGCTACCTTTTTTTTTTTTTTTTTAATTTATTGTACTTTAGATGAAGGTTTAAAGAACAAACTAGCTTCTCATTAAACAATTAATACACGTATTGTTTTGTGACACTGGTTGCCAACCCCATGACATGTCAACACTCTCTCCTTCTCGACCTTGGGTTCCCCATAATCAGCTTTCCAGTCTCCTCCTGCCTTCTTGTCCTTGCCCCTGGGCTGGTGTGCCCATTTAGTCTCGTTTTGTTTTATGGGCCTGTCTAATCTTTGGCTAAAGGGTGAACCTCAGGAGTGATTTCATTACTGAGCTAAAAGGGTGTCCGGGGGCCATACTCTCGGGGATTCCCCAGTCTCTGTCAGACCAGTAAGTCTTGTCTTTTTTTTTCTGTGAGTTAGAATTTTGTTCTACATTTTTCTCCAGCTCTGTCCAGGACCCTCTACTATGATCCCTGTCAGAGCAGTTGGTGGTGGGTGGTAGCCAGGCACCATCTAGCTGTGCTGGACTCAGTCTGGTGGAGGCTGTGGTAGTTGTGGTCCATTAGTCCTTTGGACTAATCTTTCCCTCGTGTCTTTAGTTTTCTTCATTCTTCATTGCTCCACATGGGGTGTGACCAGTGAAGTACCTCAGATGGCCGTTGAGCTACCATTTAATACCTAACTAAGCAAGTGAAAAGCAGCCCTGGTGGCAGAGTGGTTAAGCACTTGGCTCCTAACCAAAAGGTCAGGGGTTTGAATCCACCAGCTGCTCCGTGGGAGAAAGATGTGGTAATCTGCTTCTGTGAAGATTTACAGCCTCAGAACCCCTATGAGGCAGTTCTACTCTGTCCTATAAGGTTGCTATGAGTGGGAGTTCAACTCAATGGCAATAGTTTTTTTTTTTTTTAAGCAGGTAAAACTTTAAAAAAATAAGTTATATTTTAAAGCCTAATCACTTAGATAAAATTCTAGTGTGATCAGCTTTACAGAACTACCTTTCTGTTATAGAAATCAATCCCAGGAACTCATCTGGTATTTGCCAAAAAAAAAAAAAAAAAAAAAAAAAGAATTATATAAATCAAGAGACCCCAAGAAAGGAATGAGGAATGTACATAGCATTTCTTGCAACCTATAGGACTTTCTTATGGTCTGACATTGATTTTGAGGACTGGTTTGAGAGTTAAAAACTATGTGAAATCAGGGTGTGAGGCAGGGGAGGAGACTTAGAGGAGCCACTGTAAAGAACTGCAAGTGAGCAGCTCAGCTCTTTGCCACAACCAACTCACAAAGAAAACTACATGGGATCTGTGGTGGGATTGATTACTTTTGTGTGTGGCCTTCCTAGCCACGGTCTTGTAACTCCCACCAAGGTGACTGGGAGGGACTGTGTGATAAGGTAATTGTGGCCCACCAAGGGGATTGGTCAGTTTTGCCTTAAAAGAGCCAATTTCAGAGCAGAGAGGAGGATCCTACCACCACAAAGGAAGAACAGCCAGGAGAGAGCACATCCTTTGGACCTGGGGTCGTTGTGCTGAGAAGCTCCTGGAAGCAGGAGACCAAGACGGCAAAAGAGAGAGAGCAAGCTATAACCCTGAACATGCTGAGATACGGTGGCAGGAGAGACCTGGCAGCAGGAGACGGTGCGGTGGGCTTCCTGGCCCATGGAGAGAGAAAGCTGAGTGCCTTCTGGCGAGAGGCCTAGGGCCAGGGAGAGATGCGTCTGTGAGCACAGTAGGGAAGACGCTGCACTGATGGAAGAACGTGTTCCTGAGCCTGAACTGTAACTGTTACTTCTCTAATAAACCCCATAATCCTGAGTATGGTCTGTGAGTTCTGTGTGGCCACTGCAACAAATTATCGAACCTAGTAGAGAGTGCTGTGGGAGGGACAGTTGGTGTCAGAATTGGTAAAGATGGTGGAGAGAGGAGGCATGTCTGACCCTCGCTTCACAGGAATCAGCCTTGGGCTGTTGACCCTGGTCTTCCTTCCCCCTTGTTGGGTTGGAGAAGGTCTGACACTGCCCCCACGCTGTCTTTACAGATCACCTACTCCTTTACTAAGAAAGTGGCAGCTGAGTAAAAATAGATAAAAATATTTCTCATTCCAGATTAGTTGTTACTACCAGATGTACACTGAATTATTACTCTCAAGGAAAAGCTACTTCTTCTGATGGCCCCAATCTTAAAAACTGGAATCCAAAAACCAAACCCACTGCCACTGAGTCAGTTTCGACTGATAGTGACCCTACAGGACAGAGTAGAACTGCCCCATAGGATTTCCAAGGAGCGCCTGGTGGATTTGAACTGCCGACCTTTTGGTGAGCAGCCAAGTTCGTAACCACTGCTCGCACCATCAGGGCTCCAAAGCTGGAATAAGTAGCGCCTGTGTGAGGCTGGGCACAAAAGCAGGGCCACTAATTGGTCCTCCTTCCCCCATCCCCTCAAGTCATATAGATGATGGCAGGTTTAGGGACTGTTTGCAAGTATCTGAATGAGCTCTGAAATCTGGAATTCTTTGTAATGGTACCCACTGTATTGAAGTTTTACTGGTATATTTATTCTCTTACACTAAAATATTTTTTTAATATTCAAGCACTGAAGAAATTCATAGAAAAATAAAGAAATGATGTGTGTTATGGATTGAATTGTGTCTCCAAAAAATATATGTTGTAAATCCTAACCTCTATGCCTATGGTTATAATTCCATTTGGGAATGGGCTGTCTTTGTTATTTTAATGAGGCAGGACTAGTAAGGTTATGTCTTGAGCTGAGCTCTTACAAAATATAAAAGGAGCAGATTAAGCAAGCAGAAATAGGGGAAGATAGATGCCAAGACACATGAAGATCTCTAAGGAACCAGGAAACAGAAGCTAAAGAGGCAAGGACCTTCTCCCAGAGCCAACACAGAGAGAAAGCCTTTCCCTAGAGCCACACCCTGAATTTGGACTTCTAGCCTCCTCAATAGTGATAAAATAAATTTATTTGTTAAAGCCATCCACTTGTGGTACTTCTGTTATTAGCAGCACTAGATAACTAAGACAATGTGCAAAGATAAAGAAATGATGATCTACCTCATAATTTAAAAAATGCAAAATGAGATTTCTTTTTCTCCCCCCATCTATCAGATTGGCAAAAGTTTAGAAGTTTGATAATAGCACTTCTGGTGTGAATGTGGAAAAATAGGCATTTACTTACATGTGGGTGCAAATATAGGTATAAGCTTTTTGGAAAACAATTTTACAATATCTGTCACAATTCTACAAATTTACAATATTTATCACTTTTACAATAAGTGATAAATCATGTATTCTTATAATTTTAAAACTCACCCTAGGAATGTACTTGCGAAAAGAAGCCAAGACATATGCACCATGACTTTCACCACAGTGTTTGTATTAGCAATAAAATGGAAACAATATAAGCATCCACCAACAAGGGACTGATTAAGCAATTGATGGTACAGCCAATGGCATACCAGGCAGCCATTTAAAAAGAACAGTGAGTTTGTATATACTTATATAGAAAGATCAAGACAGATTAGCTGAAAAAAAGCTTGCGCAGGACAGCATCTACATCTTTTGCTTTGTTATTTTGTTTTAACAGATATACACATTATCACTTTTATTGAATCGACATCTATGTGAAAGACTTGCCCAATGTCCTGGCTTCATTTCTCTGTTCCTGTTCATGGCAATACTTCTCCAAAAAGCTATCCGCATTTGCTGTCTGTTGTTCACTTCCCTTTCATTCTCAATCTATTCCAAACTGGCTCTGTCCGTCATCTCTCTACTAAAACTACAATCATCAATGAACTCCATGTTGCCAAACCCACTGGCCATTTCTCTATTCCCAACTTACTTCTCTGAATCATATAACAATTGACTACTCTTTTCTTCTTGAAACACTTACCTCTATCTGAACTTCTAAATTTTGGAGCCCTGAGTCCTATTAAGTTTTCTATGTATACTTTCTCCTTGGGCAAGATCAGTCCCATTGTTTTAAATACCACTGACATGCTAATCACTTCCAAATTTATAATTTCAGCCTGATCTCTCCCATGAGTTTCACACTAGTAAATCCAACAGTTTAACATCTTCACTTAATTTGTAACTTAATCAGTCCCTCACTGAACTTCTGATTTTTCTCTCTCAAACCTGTGACTCCCCCAGTTTTCTCTGTCTCATAAACGATAACACATATATGAAGGGCTCATGGCCAAAACCCCAAGGAGTCACCTTTGATTCCATACACTCCTGGACCTTCCACATCTAATCCATTGAGAAGTTACACAGATTCTCAACACCCTAGTCTGCACCTGGCTCTTTTGCCCCCATGACAAAATGGCAGAAGTGGCCACTCCCACCTCCTGTAAGGTTGACAACACCTTACCTAGCCATATAAAGTTCTGTTCTCCATTTCTTAAGTTACTTGTACATTTTGATCTGATAATTTGTAAGGTCTGACTCCACTTCTGGACATGTAATATGATATAGTATAAACTATATAGTATAAACTACATCACTCTAAAAATTAGCATTCATATAATTATCTGTCTGTAACTTTCTAAAATCTGATGCCTACAAGCCCCTTCATCTGTTGGCAGTTATCAACAAAGTTTCTTACCCTCTTCTTCCCAGGCTCAGAAGCACGAGTATCATAATCATCAGGGAGCTGGAGATAATCCTCCATTCTGCTTGCAATTGCCTCCCAGTCACGTTTCCTTTTAGTGCCAGTCCTCAATCCATCCAACTTGTCTGGGGGACAAACACAGAGCCGTGGCATTAAGGAACAGTGTGAATTTGCACAAAACACACAAACAAGGGAAAAGAAAGCTGGAACACTTTCAGAGGGCACATCCACATTTTTTAGAGCAGCATCACTTGCAGATCCAAAGTATCTTCTTGGCTGAGATAATATCAAGTTTTGTGCAATTTCCATTGTTTATCTGGTGTTCATAGTGGTAGCCATTATAATGTTGGTTAAGTAACAAATATGGGCAAACACAAGAAAAGGCACTTGTCTCCTGTCCTCCTTGTTCCCCAATCTTCCAAAATCATAGCACCTCAGCTCTTTATGTTCAGAAGGAAAATTCAAAGTTGGTTTTTCCTAAGAACAATTTCTTCCGCTCTTTTTTTTTTTAAACACAATATTAGCACCACCCATTTGATCTGCTATCCTGTGTGATACTGTGTCACATAAGAGCAGGTAGTACCAAGAACACAATGAGTCAAGCTAATGTTTAAGAAAGTTTTAGATTAACAGTTTCTACTGAACAGGAATCTCAAGATTTGAGATGCTGTGTGAGGATTCACCATGAGTTAATGTTTATGAATAAGCTAACTGTACAAGATCACTACTTTTTTTGGTTATACTATGAAGTGCTGTTACCATTCTAAGGCTAAGGACTAGTCAGCCAAAGTGACCAGATTTGAAATTTTCTTACTGAACCCTCAATCTGAGAGGGCTAGGCTTTCCAAGGGCCCCAAACTATAATCAATTAAATACACAGGGATTGATGATTCAGAAATTATGAGATATGAGTTTAGATGTCTTCAAGAACACGCAATGAAAATATGTTGCTTTTTTTATTTGTCAATACTGATTTTGAATATTACATGTGGAACATTAAGAGTTATATTTTATATATACATATATTTTAGCTACTTTCAAGCACTAAACTTTTGAATCATCTGGAGTAACAGAAACACACTATTATTAAGCAGGCCAATAAAGAAAAGCCTAAAATCTTTAGAGACACACAATAACCATAGTTCATTGAATTTCATAAATGGTACAGCATGTACAGAATAGAAATCTTTTAGGCACCAAGTTGGAAGAACTTGATATGAAAGGAGAAGTGCAATGGAAGCAGTGGTAGGAGGGAAGGTGAATTTATGTTTCAAATAGGAAAGTTTCACACACAACTAACAGTATCCATACCATACAGGCTTCAAAACTCAGTAAAATTTTGCATACTTGGTAAAGCTTTTATTTCCTAAATCCCTCCCCAATAGAAGCAATATAATTGAAAAATCAGTAAGGTAAACTACAACACTATACAACTCAAGAAAACTTTATCATCCCCCTTTGGCAGAATTTGAATATGGACGACTTCAACAGAAACAGTCTTCTGATCTCTTCCATAAGTCATATGCTGTACCAAATGGCTCTATCTACATGTACATGACAGGTCGTTTTATACAAGATCTTCAAGAAGTGACCCCTTCTCTGCACAGGGACACAAGATATGGTATTAGAAAACCAACAAAGTCCCACAAACCATACAACCAGAAAAGTAGAATTTTCAAACTTAATAAGATCAGCTTTGACAACGTACTTCATAGGGAAAATTTCATATTTTAATTCCAAGAACAGAGCATGGCCAGGCAGCAATGCGAAAGGGCAATGTGAAAACTGAAAAAACTTTTTCCTCACACACTGGGTATATGACAGAAATTACAGATCAGTAGTTCCATATTTGCAACATGGACGTTCACAAGCGCATGTATTTCTAGTCTGAGCACCCTTTTATGAAATGTTGACTTGGAAATTTAATCGTGCTTTGACATGTTTAAAGTTTCCTCCTTGAGGCTGAAGGAAGGCTCACACCTCTTCCACATGGCATCCTGAAAGCCCAAATGCACAGATGTATGACATAAGGTGAGGGAAGAGGAATCTGGGGTGTTAAGTGCAGAAGGAAGAATGGTGTCCAGTATACCCATACTAATGATTTTCAGAGGTTTTGAGTTTCAAAAGATGAACTTTTAATATTAAGATGAAGTTTTAAATATCCAACTCAGAAGGTCACAGAATTTTGTATCTTCAAAACAGTATATATTTTTATAGTACAACAGAAAAAATCCTTAAATACATCTATTTATATTCTAAATGTAAATGGTAGTTCTGAAAATCTGTTCAAGGTGAACATACAAGAGGTATGTGCCTAAACAAATAATAGTTACGTGAGACTATGAAGAGATGAATCTGACATACAGACAACTCAATTTGTGCTTATGAGTTGTGTGTACTGTCCTCACTTAAAGAGAACTATACACATAACTCATAAGCACAGGCAAATGACACTGAGGTGAGAAAAGCAAAAGTTCTTGATATGGGGAAATCTAAATCAGGATGATAACAGCCTCAAATATTTCAGTCCTCACAGTTTGAGATACTAAAATCAAGTCATTGGAACTTAAGTGGCTCTGATGCTGAATCCCAGCACTGACATGACACAGAACACCCACCCTTGCATCAGGGTGCCTGTGTCCCAGCTGGGCAGAAGCCAGCCATGTGGACTGAAGCTGGGCCACAGACAGCCTTCAACAACTCCATGACACCATGCCAGGTGTAGTGCAGGCCTGTTCTGAACTGTATACTGTACTTAATGAGCACAGACCAAGAAGTCTGCAATAAGATTTAACCAGCTGCACAAAAGACTACAGTTAAGAATTCATCATTGGCAGACTCATTTGTGAATCAAAATTTCTTAGCTTCAGATTCATTATGCTGGGTGGAAACATATTAGGCTAAAGCTTCATATGTTTCCATCCAGCATGATGATGTTACCAAGAATAATTTAAGAATGTTGGCAAAATACTCAGTAAAATAAATTGTATCTGGTAATCAAACATATTGAACTTGTTATGATAAGGAAGGCAAAATAAATAGGCTAATTCTTAGATGCAAAACCCCCACATTTTAGAGAAGAATCTTCTCAACTGGCTCCTTCTATCAAGAATGCTCACACTCATAGCTGGATTAGCTCTTAATACGATACAAGTGGCATAAGTGGTATAAGATGAAAGTTATTATACAAGATATCAGTCATTCTCATTAAAAACAAACAAAAGCCCAACTGAAAACATGTTAGAATTTATTTTCTAGTTCATTCATTACCAGACCTTCACAGCCTGAAATGGTTTATTTAACAAATCCATTTCTGGAATTCACTGTCTAATGTTCTGTCTTTAACACTGACTGAATCTGTATAAAATGTATTTTCTGAGAAGCAAATGGTAGACAGGCTAGACTTTTTTCCAGACATTAATGCTAAATTTAATACCATATTTTCTTGAATAATCATCATAATGAAATTCCATTTTCCTTTCTCTTTAGAAACTAGAAAGAAAACGTAGAGAATGGACTAGCTCAAATTTAAAAAAAACATTATCCCAGATCATATATTACATAAGGCCTGTGAAGATTATATGCTTAGTTAAGAAATTTATCACTTTTACGATCCCCTTATCTTTATTTATGATCTCTATTTCTGCCCCAAAAGATAATCACTATTTCGAGAACCAGAAAGAGAAGAACGATTTTAGTCTTACAGGTCAATCTAAAATAAAGAACTACAAACAGATTCAATCTCATGTCAAAATAAGCAGGTCTAAAGCATTATCATTAGAAAAGTAATTTGTGACTGAGTACTCTACTATAATATTTAATTGCATGTAAACACTTACAAATCCTTTAAAGGTCTAGCGAAGGAGGTAGTTGGTTATCATTAAGATTTCCCCCAGAAGGAAGAATAATAGAAGAATATGTCAGTAACCACAATTTTTACATGACAAACACTAGAAATTTTTTTTTAGAGTTTATAACAAAGCATCTACCCCGATAATAAAGTAATACTACATTTATGGAACTATCTTTCAACATAGGACCTGATCAACATCAACTGCTAACACAGTTGAGCAAAACGAAAGGCATAGCCTATGCAATTGTAAGTAAAATGTACCCTCTGATGTCAGAAGCACAGATAATGTGGTCCAGTAAGTGAAGCAGCTAAATGACTCAAACTTTTCTACAAATTGAAGATATTTAGACGGTTACTTCAATTTTAGAGTAATAGCATGATATCGGGAAGAGAAACAGATTGACGGTCATACTTCAAACATCAGTAAGCCCAATCTTCTCAAAAAGGCTTTATTGCATTTTCTTAGATTTTTATTAATACATTTTAATCAACAGGTTAAGTAGTTCTCTTTAAGGGAGGACAACAAATCACTGAAAAAATGTCATGTAATATCACCATGAGCTATTGGAGGAAAATCCACTGGATACATACAATTTTCTGCTTAACAGATAACCTCCGATCAAGCAACTCCAGTTTTTTATTTAAACAACCACTTTAACTGGTTCACCTTGTAATCTAGCACTAAAGACAACTTGAAGGAAAATTTAAATGGAATCTGATAAAAGCAGGCTCCTCAAAAACTTGAATTATGTATCTACCTCCTCCCACTCAGAAATGTTCATTTATATAAGGAATATAATTGCCTTTTAACTGATTTTAAAACTTTAATATTATTATTATCATCATCATCCAAAGCATTCATAATCAGGTTCAATTCTGGACTGCAGTCAAATATTTATTATAAAGCAGGAATCTCATCAGCTCTAACATTTCTGATTTACAGAAAAGAAGAGATTTTAGAAGTGACAGCATGTTGTTACTAAATTTATCACATATTTCTGTTTAAATGGTATTGAAGGCAGTTCTTCTAAAATACTTTTCTTTTCACTCTCTGTCACAAGATGTAAATACAATTAAACCAAAAGCAAGCAAAACAGATAGAAGGATGTAAGGAGGCCAAAAATCTTGGTTTAAGCAGAGGTTTGGGAAATTCGCTCTTCTTACAGAAGATCTATGACCATTACCATCAGGTATCACATATAAAAACAGGAAAAAGGAAATACCCACCTAGCTTTGCCTCAGATGTGTCCATCTCCCATTTGCTTTTCGGAATGTAACCCTAAATTGTACACAGAGAGAAGCTCGAAGGGTTAGAAAGAGACACATACATGCACATCACTTTTGAACTGGAAAAGCATTAAAACTGGGAATGGATTCGGTTTCCACTCACTAGTTATAAACTTATCCTTAGGGAAAGCAAAATCTTATTATCTTTGAAGAAACTGAATTACCAAATTTGCCAAACTTGACCGCCCGGATTTCAGAGCAGTCACTTCAGAATAGTATCATGAAGGCGCTTTGAGGCAGCTACAGTTCAGGACTCACAATCGTAGTCTGAACAACAGCTGTATAGCAAATATGCTAAGAATGTACAGGTAGTTACTGTGCTAATATTAATATCATCTGGAGTAGCACAGGATTTATATCAGCTAGGTTATTTTCTAAATACAACTGCTATTCTTGAGTGATATTAGCCATGAGGTCCAAAGAGTATTTTTCAAGAGTTACTTTATATTCCACTGTAATTTTAAAAAGTCGAAAGAAAGGAGAAAATTTGGTATCACTGAACTCAACTATAAAGTTCAACCTCATTTTAAGAAGACTCAATCCATTTATCAGTTAGATCTTACAAAGGCTAATTCTACTTAATCAGTTTCAGAGCATTTCTCTTTAATCACTTGGAGATTAGGTTATTGTTTCTGATATTGTATGTCTTCTAAAATTACGTTTTCCTATTATATGAAAATCCAGGTATCTCCACAGGCAACTTACATCTTACATTTAACAAAATAACTATGTGATTTATTTCAAACAAACTCCCATATGGTTTTCAAATTTCCCAATGTATCTATTTAACTATGTAGTAACCCTTTGAGTTTATTCACTTAGCAAATGTATGCTTTTTCCATGTGATTTATTGAGATTTTCCCTTTTCCTTAATTTGGACTCTGTTTTCTATTAATTCCTAACATGCAGAAGTTTTAATACTAAGACTTAATATTTAGGGTTGATTCATCAAAGGTGTCAGTATCTTCTTTTTAAGAATCAATATATCCCTCTACTGTTGAGAATGTTCAAGTTCATAGAACAGACTGACACACAGGTAAGTCAGAAAGCATGTTGAAGACTTTATGGCAATAGCTTCTGTGTAACAGTTTTCCATAGCATCATCATCCTTCCAGGTAACCTACAGATTTTACATATTTCTAATTTTTAAGCCAGAACTAATAATTTAATTTTAATTTATTAGACAGTATTTCAGGTTATCAATTATATCATCTTTTTCAAATATGTCTTTAGAATAAACAAGACAAACTATGCTGAAGTAATGGTGCTAAAAATATCAATCAAATTTGTACAAGTCACATCTCAAAAATCATCTGAAAACCCTAAACATCACTAAAATATTTATAAACTCTGAGCCATATCTAGTAGGTTCACTGAAGCACTAAAGAAGGCAAAATATCATACCCAAAAAGGATTCTCTTAATCAAGAAAAGTTTGGATTTCACCAAGCTGTATTAATCAGTACAGAGTGGAAAATGCAAAGTTTACTGAGAATTCCATTAAAATAATCTGAATGACATGAACTTGTTCTTAACCCTTTGGTTAAAATTCTCCAAGAATCTTTTACTCTTGGAGTAGACCCCAATAGTAGAAGATCTGGATTCTGAATCTTAGAATGAGTTAAGAGAAGTTTTATAACATACAGATAAGCAAAATGAATATATTCATTTCCCCATGCTGGAACCACCCTGTTCTTCCTTAAAACTCTACTATCCTCCCACTGCTCTCTTGAAATGGTAGGCTATTTGGAAATAGAAGAGATAGTCCAGTAGGATAGAGTTCTAAGACTTCTTTGCCAGGTCTCTGATGTAAAAATATAGTATTACAGTGTGTTTCACTTTTTAAAATTAAAAACTACATTCAATTAAAGTTCCAAGTTTTGACCTACACCTAAGCAAGTCAGATGCTACATACTGTCTCCTAAACTGAAATCTTCACAAAAGAAGATGAAGCTTTAGAAAGCTAAAAGTTTACAGACTGCTCACGTGACTTTACAGTACACACGCTGCAAGTAGTTAAAGAAGCTGTTAGTCATATTCGAGAACAGCGTGGACCTTTACATGAATTTATTTCCTGCCTACATTTTAGATCATATATACCAAAACACAACTTAAAAAACAACAGACTTTGTTTAAAACAAAAAAAAAAATACTGAGACTCAAATGCCATTAACTTTAAAGCTTATTTTTTTAATCCACATTTGAAATCTAGGCATGTAGAGGTTGACGCCATCACTACATAAACACACAGTGTTTACCAAGAGCCCTCTATATCACACATGGTTTGATGGGACCATTCCTTAGAGACTCTGTATACTGTAGGGATTAGGGTAGGAATTAGAGTCTTACTTTGTACATTTTCAGAAGAATATGAGAAGCAGCTTTAGGAAGGGCTGAGGTATTCAATAAACTGAGCAGTATTTTGTATTAAAGAAGCAACACTGTTTCAAGGCATTGCAGATCACTGTAATCATTAGCAAACACTGAAAAGTCAACATAATTCTACAGTGGCATATTCTTGAATGACAGGGTAAGGCAAACACTTCTACAGAGGTGTGATCAAAAGCATTTACAGTAGGTACACAGGAACTTGGAAATCATACTATATAAACCTCTAATCAGTCTGAGCAAAATCCATTGCCTACAAAGTCAAATCATTTTCCCCATCACTTAAAAGGATAAAATGCAGAAGAACAAATCCAGCAGTAAGTGGCAACTCTCAGTCTCCTTATTCAATAACAATTCTTCTGCCTCAGTTGACAGAAACTCAATTTTGATAACTTGCAGCAAAGAAGAGACAATTATACAACGTTGTGTAGGCTGCACCACATACCTGCTGGAATGTAAAAATGTCCTTTCATACTTAATTGATTTTCTTGATAAGTAAATACCCTTAGGGTATTTAAACTACCTACAAATAGATGAGTGTGTATAAAGGTAAGTTTCTCAGCAGTCTGTTAAAATTTTCCTTCAATAATACAGTAGAGGGTTCTTTTGGTCTGGAGAAAAATCAAAAGTATCCAAAAGTCTCCTTGGGGATGACTATGGAAACTTTACCATTAAAAGGGGTATCGAAACAGCAGTAATCTGACCACAGATCTGAATTTAAAACAATACCCTTCTTAAGAATTTTAATAAAGAGACACTTTGTTCAAAGTGGTTGGTCAATCTCCTACCAGTTCGCTTTCCTCTTCCTCTGCATCTTTCTTTTCTTCTTTCTGTTCTTCAATATTTGCATCAAAATCTTCCATCTCTACCTACACCCCCACAAAATTAAAAAAAAAAAAATTGAATTAACATTTAGGAAAATGTTGAGTCCTTCAGTGAGATCTGGAAGGAGCATGGTTACCCAGGGCAAAACAACACAGATTCACTGTTACATACTAAGAAATTTTAAAACCCTAAATTTTGAAGCAGAGCTGATAAAAGACAGAACAATATTCCAGACTTTAATCTTCCTGGGATAGCTATCTTTATAATTTCCTATGGAGTTTAGTACAATGATCTGCTCTGAGTAGATGTCCACCTGTTTTGAATGCCTATGGGTTACTAGGATTTCTTTTTAAAACCTTTAAAAATTATTTTTCCAATCAGATAAAACATACATATGATTCAAATTTCAAAATGCAAGAAAGGGTATAATGGAAAATAGGCTAGTAGCTTGTCCCAGAATGACAGCAGTGGTAATATAAAGTAGAATAGATTAGAAAGGTATTTACAAGGTAAAATGGCAAAACTTACAGACTGACTGTGGTGGAGGGGTACAGTAAGAAGCTGTAATAAGAGAAAGCAAAGTCAAGGATGACTCCCAGACTACTGGTTTCAGCAACCCAAGTGGTTGGTGGTTCTAATTACTAACACAGAGAATACCAAAAGAGGAACAGGTTCGGATGAATTACATTTTGGAAGATCACCCACAATTCCTCCACTTGGGTAGAATTACTGTTAAGATATTGATATAATTCACTCCAGTCTTTACAATTTAATATTAAGAGCATATACGTGGCAATCAAAGCTATTAGGAAGATTCAGATTACGTATGTAGAATGAAAATAGGGCCTAGGATAGATACAGCCCTAAAGAGTGCCAACATTTAAGGACTGGACAGTGTGAGGATCCAGTGAAGGAGACTGAAAAGGCATGGCCAGAGAGGTAAGATAATCCAGGTAAATGAGAACCAGGAGAATGTGGATTCACAGAAGCCAAGAGAAAAGTATGTTTTCAAGGTGAGCATGGTCAATTGTGTCGAGATTGGCAAAATCAGGCAACAGGAGACGTGAGAATTGTCCATTGTCATGGAAGTTATTGGTGAGAGTCTCTGGACAGTGATGGGGGCAAAGGCCAGAAGGAAACAGGGTGAGGAGTGGCACGGGAGGTAAAAAAACAATGAAAACATTGAGTATACATAACTCACTCATGGGAAAAGGTCAAGGAAACAGAAGTACACAACTGATCAAAGTACCAAATCTCTCCTTTTTCATAATAAAGATTTACTTCCACCAAATTAATGATTGATTCAGGCAAGAATTATCAATGGGTGTAAATCTGTTGGGGAACAGGATATTTATGGTTTCAACATACTTCCCTACAGATTACCTATTAGAAAGGTACCTTTACAATAGAAAAATCTGGCAGACATCACCTTAACCAAGTGAGATAATAAGATAAATTGATATCATATGGCTCCTGATGGGATGCACTGAGGACACATCACTTATGTAGTATTCCTGCTAATGTTTAACCTAAATTTAATCACGTGGAAAGAATCAGACAAACCCAGACTGAGGGGCATTCTACAAGACAACTGGCCTATACTCTTCAAAAATCCTTTTTCTGTGTCTTTCATGACAATGACATGGCTGAGAAATTATTTTAAAGGACTGGATCCTGGATTAAAGGAAAAAAAAAGCTATAAAATGCATTATGGGGACAGTTGGCAAAATCTGAATATGGACTATATATGAGATAATTCAGGAAATTTAATTCAAGAAATTTACATTATTTAATAAACTATTATATCAATGTTAAATGTTATGAATTTTATAACTGACTTCTACGTTAGTAAGAGGATGTCTTGGTTTTTAGGAAATAACCTGCTAAACTATTTAGAGGTGAAGTGTTATGAGGTCTGCAACTTACCTCTAAAATGGTTACGCAATAATAATGATAACTATAATAATGAATAATTATAAGAAGAATATATATCTGTAAAATATTAATAACCGGTGAACCTCGATGAAAGAGGTACAGGTGTTCACTGCATTCTTTATGCAACTTTTCGAAGGGCTTAAAATTTTTCAAAGTAAAAAGTTGAAAAAAAGCCTCTTTTGCACTGCATTCGAGCCAAAGGACACTCACCTCTTCAATAGCAGCATCCTGCAGCAAAGAACGGATGTCCAGACGCATCATGTGACGAGGTGCAGTTTCCCAGTGATCAGCCATCTATTGAGAGATTCAGGAGGTCAAATTATCCCTGGAAACTACTCAGATAAAGACTAAGTGAGCATCCAAGATAAATCTAACTAATACTGTGAAGTCTAACAGGCCAGTTCCAGGAACAGCTCTGCCATCCCTCTCACTTACATGCAAAGGAAAAGAAACATTTATTAAAGCAGGAAGAAAAGATATTCTGAAAGAAAATGGGATAAACAATAGTTTCCAGAGAACAGTGGTGATACTGACAAAATGAAGTTTAGCATACTCCACCATTCCATGTTTCCAAAAATCACCTTATTTATTTCTTTAAGCTTTCTTCCATGAATATTTCTCTTGCCACAAGTCTGGTTATCTGTACTCATTTCAGCCAAATATACCTAGGAAAGAATTAACAATGATTAGGCAAACAAATACAATACTTACATGATAACATGAAGTGTTTTAAAGTTCTTTTAAGTCTATACCTCAAAACCCTTGGTTTTTGCTGCACTCCAAAACTGGTCAAAATGTCTAACTCTGTCATTGATGGCATCCAGGATAATAAAGGGGAAAAAGCCATCATCCAGAGTCTTCTTGAAAGTTTTGAACATGCTGGTGCGGTAGGTCTCCTCCATCTCAGCTTCATATTCATATTCCATTACCTAAGATTCCCCAAAAGAGACCCAGAGTTAGCAAAAGAACCATCCTAATCCTCTTCTGTGGGCAGCACCTGAATAGCTGACTTTGTAGTCCTTCCTTCACACCTGATTACTAAAGTTTATATTCAGAAAAGAGAAATTTTTCTTTGTCTTCAAAAAAGCCACATCTCCCTCTGAGCATATTTTCATTAAATACTATTACTAAATTAGGATGTGATCTGAAAGGAATATACTATACCTTCTTTTTCACTTTCTTTCCAGAATCTGGATCTTTTTCTTCTTTTTCCACTTCAGTGATGAAGTAATCATCCAGGCTTAGAACTCTGGGTGCAGGTCCTCCAAATTCTACTTCCTTATCCTAAGAATCATATAGTCAAAGAGGTTAAAGAGAATTTATGGAATAAATTAACAAATGTTCACATCAGTGTTCCCTCTCGTGACTAAATAATATACAATCATTTGGTGGTTTCGAATCAAGCAGAGGCAAAATATTCACCTAAGGTAAAAAAAAAATTTGTATGCGATAGCATCTATCACACGGACCGACTAGAATGGGATCAGGTGGGAGACACCTGTATCAGTATCTTGCTGCTAAGAAGGCAAGTGGCTAACAAAAGCAACAAGTTCTTTGGCTTTCTCATACTCACTCGAATGAGTTTTGCAACATGTGTCTTTCCACTGCCAGGCAATCCTCTCATTATAACAACAATCTGAAACACAATGAACACACACAAACACACACAAAAAAAGACCACTCAGAGAGGATTTTTTTGCAATGATCCATCAGTTAAACATATATAGAGTTAAAATATCTGGCTGAAACCTCCAGTACTAGTTTATTCAAGTGGAACCTAGTTATTCTGCAATATAAGACAAATTTAAGAATGTATACTTCACTAGTAAAATAAGCCTAAGTTATCCAAGTCTTGTACCTCTCCCTCTTTTTGTTCCACATACCAGAAACCTAAAACCACTTCTCCCCTTCTTCAAAATGCGATTAACTGAGCCCCTATAAATTATTTTTTAAAGTTTTCAACTTTTTTTTTTTTTTTTGCCAAGCAACTAAGCTTTAACTTCTGAAAGATTCTGTAGGGTAGACAACTTATGAGATTTCGATTGCATGAAGATTTGGAGATGGTATAATGCCTTGAATCTGCTATTAATACTCTGTTACAGAAAAGGAGAGAAGTTATGTTCAGGATATTTAAAAAATCTCTTAGCTTCTGATCTGCAAGAAAACTGGTCAACTTCATCAGACTCACTCTCTCAGGTCTGCTCTCTCGGCCTGGTGGTTTCAGAATGTCATCCACATTTTTAGATTCAGGCTTCTTCTCAACTCGTGAAGCTGGAGGTGGCTGGTGGCTTAGTGAAGGAGCTGGCAAGGACATTCGCTCCTCTGGGTAAGTTCTTCGCTCTCCTAGAAGTCCAGCAGTAGAATAAAATTACTATTAATAGAGCAATTATTTTAAAATTTACCTCTCCCCACTGATCCTAAGGTAATATAATTCAAATCAAGTTAGATGATTTGGTGGGCCATTAATTAGAGAAAGTTTAAGGAAATGTACAAGTATTGAAGTCAAGAAAATGAAAAGGTTTAGGTATGATTTAAGGTAAACAGAATGTTCTGAAAAAATACTGAATTCATCCTTGTTTGTATTAAACTTAGGAAAACAGTATAGCAACAGGACACAGAAAAACAATACATACTTTGCTGGATAGTCTCAAGTATCAGTGATAGTGCTATAACTTCCCCTTTATAATTTCAAGAACAAGAGTCACTAGCTTAGGAAAGCTTGTTCCTATAAATAGGTATACAGTTCTAGTTTAATTTCTAACAATGAAAAAACTAAAAGCAACATAAATGTCCAACAATAAGAACTTTATATGTTATCCACACAATGGAATATCACAGAACCATTAATATAATGGGTTTACACATGGAAAAATGTGTATGGTACACCTCAATAGGAACAAGCACGGTACAGAAATTATACTTTGATTACAACATTATAAACATGTATATGGAATAGAGAATGAGAGGAAATGCACAAAATTGTAATAGTTGTAGTATGGTAGGTAGCAGGATCCTAAGTAATTTTGTTTCCATTCTCCAAAATTTCTTTTATAATATAAAAAAGCAATTTATGCTTTATTTCATTAATTACATCACTATTTTTGATGATAGTGCTGCCATCTCTGAGAAATCTGTGAATGCATTTTATTCTGCAAGTTTAAATTCACAGATACAATGAAAAGCAACTTCCAATGTTTACATTCTTAAAACCCTTATAGTAACAGGCACTGCTCTACCTCCAAACATGGATGGCCCTTCGTAGGCTGGTCGGTCAGACTTCCGGTCATAGGATGGTCTATCAAACCCCCCTCTTCTGGATGAGGAATGGTCTTTTTTGTCTCGATATGACTGAGTCCTAGAAGGTGTAACAGAAGTACCTTGGTAAATAAAAAATATTTGGAGGTCTCTGCTTTATCATGCAACATCATTATCTGCCCAGTTTTCTCTATGGGTAGTGACTCCACATAGTCAGTATTTACAATTTGATTTTGCTTTTCCATTTAGGTTTGTCGTGCGTACATATAACTAAAAAGCTCAGGAATTACACAAATAAATTGCTTGCCTACTAATTAAGTAATGACTGCACCTTTGTTCACAATACCGTTTCCATTCCCTTCTGGCTGTCTCCCATCTCCCATTTAATTCTCCGGAACTCAAGCTGAGAAGACTCAAGCACTTACTTTCATTAACATTGATCCAGAACTGCTCTTCCCTCTCCAAATTATACACATACGAAAGGAATATGTCATTTACTAAATGCCATTAGGTAAACTGACTTTTGCAGAACTTAAGTATATGGTAATTTGCACACCTAGCAAAGATTATTCTTCATAGCATACCTATCATCTCGGGGTCGGCGATCTCTGTCAAATCGATCCCGGTCATAATCAATAACACCACGATCCCGGTCTCGGTCTCTATGAGTTTCCCGATCCCTTTTAAAATCTCGATGATCTGTCATGATATTACTTTGACGATCAAAATAAGGCTCACGGTCTCTGTCTCTATCGTAACGATCGCGTTGGCCTGTATGCTCTACAAAAACAAGTCGTACAAAATAAGACTTTTAATGACATAAAAGTAGAAAAGTACAACTCTAACTTTAAAACTAGTATAAACTGCTGCCCTAAATTCAATTTAAGAATCTTTTAGCTATATCAAGGGAAGGCTCAGATAATCTCACCAAAAGTAAAATTATGTGAAATCAGGTCCTAAAATGTTTAAAGGTACTGATCTCTCTGGAACTCCTACCTGTCTCAAAAGTTGGTCTTTCGGGTATTGGATCTGGGCGCAGAGTTATTCTTTCTCCATAGGGTATCTGTTCAACTTTATTAGTGGATATATCTGGTAAATAAAACCAGGGATAAAACTCTGTAAGAACGCAGCTTGAAGAAGCCAAAGCTAAAGCTAACAGTTCCTCTAGAATCCCAAATACAAGTTCACTACCATTACTCACCTCTGCCATGGCCATAATCAACAGTCTGCTGCACTGGTGGGGGTTTGGACATTGGTGGCATACCCATAGGCATTGGGCCAGGAGGAGGAATGGAAGGGTGAACAGGTGGGAGTGGTAACACCGGACCAGATGGAATTGCTGCATTTTCTGACTTAAATTCCGAATTCAGTCCTTGATCATCATTTGTATCCCAGAGTCCATAGAAAGAATCTTCATCCCAGCGCTCCTGTTCCACACCAGAAGTCTGTGGCTTTATCACTGGAGGAGGAGGAGGTGGAGGAGGAGGGGGTGGTGGTGGTGGTATTGGGACAGGTGGCCTGCTCACAGGAACAGATGATCTTGCTGGTGGAGCCGAGGGTCTTACAATTGAACCTGGTGGTTTACCCATAGGAGGGGGTGGTCTATAGGGCCCTGGAGGCTAGAGAACAGAGTAAATGGCTTAGTAGACAAGCATACCACCATCTTTTCACAGATCAGTAGAAATTAAAATCTCATTCTCAATCCATAAAAGAAAAAAATCTATAAACTGGACTTATTCAAAATCAAAAACTTTTCATACTTCAAAAGACATCACTTTAAAAAATGAAAAGACAAGTCATAGAGAGAAAATTTTTGCAAATATTGGGTTTTTATCGGCTAATTTTAGGAGTAAAACGCCAGGGCTTTCTTCCTAGTTCCTCTTAGTCTGGAAGCTCTGCTGAAACTTATTCAGCATCACAGCAACATGCAAGCCTCCAGTGACAATAGAGGTGGTGGCTGCATATAAGGTGCACTGGCTGGGAATTGAACCTGGGTCTCCTGCATTGGAGGTGAGAATTTTACCAAGGAACCACCAATGCCTCATATGTACGGAAATTAACTAGAGGCCACTACAGGCTAGGAGTTAAAGACAAATTGCTGCTCTTACCTAGAGGTAAAATTTTTATTAGGATTTTTAACTTTGTTAAGAAAATGCCTACATAGGACAAAGCTATTTTCTTTCGAACCCAGCTATCCAAGCAAGGTTTAAATAGCCTAAACAATCTTGGGACTATGTCTATAAATAAAACAAAAGGTTTTTTCTTCATACTATATAGCGAGAGCAAAAGATACATTTATTTTTAAAAACCTGCAGTATTTATGAGAAAGGATTCACTTCCATATTACAGTAAAGATAATACAAATTGGTAAGAAAACTTTAGGGGCCTAAAGGATAAGCTAAAGGATAAAAACAGAATTTATACAAGAAGAAATATAATTAACAAATATGGAAAAATATTCATGCTCACTAGTTATCAAAAATGCACGTTAAACCTATTAAATTTAGCAATAACAAAAAAATTAACTACCTGATGCGTGTAAGGTCACAGTATAGATGTTATACAACTGTTTTAGAGAGCCATTTGGCTATATTACAAGCATCATAAAAAGTCCTTACTCTTTGACTCAAGTATTCTACTTTAGGAATTTAAAATCACTCTAAGTAGTTACCCAAAGAAAGAACTTGATACAAAGACATTCATTATAGTTGTATTAATAATAAGAGTCAAAGATCAGAAACAAAAGTTCAAAAGAAATGGAATAGTTTAATAAATTATTGTGCATCAAAAATAATATATTACGGAGACTGTAGCAATATGGAAAAATGTTTATTATTTGTTAAGTGAATAAAGCAGAAATGTGGATCTATAATTCAGAGCTCCTACTATTTGCTAGGAGATTCAAAGATAAAAGACATAGTTCCTATCCTTAAGGTCTCAGTTTGGAAGGAAAGAGAACAATCAAAATACAATATGATAAGGGATATGACAAAGGCCAGCATAAAGTGCTACAGGGGCACATACAGAGTAATCGTCTCACACAAGTGGAAGAGAAGATAGCAGAGCTGAGTTCTAAAAGATGAACAAGAACTAACCAGTTGGGGAAAAGGGAAGGGAAGAAAAAAGAAACGCTGGGCATAGAGAAAAGCATCTGCAATGTCATGGAGCAGTGAAAGAGTCCAGCACGTTCACACAATCGCAAGTAACTCCACATGCAGGAAGAGTGGAGCGTAAGGCTGTCGAGTAGCAAGTGATGGTAAACAGAGGTGAGGGCAGCTCATGAAGAACATAAAAGGCCATGCAAAAGAGTCTAGAAGGGGCAGAGAGTTTATGTTAATGAGGGAGGAACAACTCAGAAAAGGAGGGTGAGAATGGTTGCACAACTCAAAGAATGTAATCAATGTCACTAAATTGTACATGTAGAAACTGTTGGTGTGTGTTTTCTTGTGTATATTCAGAACAACAACAAAATAAATAAAATTTAGGAAAAAAAGAGAGTCTAGATTTTATGCTGAAAGCAATGGGGAAATACTGAAGGAATTTAAAGCCAGAGAGCAACATGGTGACGTTTATGTTTTTTAAAACGTCCACTTGGGCCAGAAATCACATCGGTGCTGCCTAGATGGTCGGGCTGATACTGACTACAAAAGGCATGAGAAAACTTTTTGGTGTAATGGAAATTTCTTTATCTTTCAGTTTACATTTGTAAAAACTCAAACTGTAGTCTTAAAATGGGCGTATGTTATTGCATGTAAACTATATCTCAAGAAAGATGATTCAAAGAATAAAATAATCACTCTGGGAGCAGAGTGGAAAATGGATCAGAGGGGAATGAGATGGAGAGAGGTGAATTAGGACATTTCTGAAATGATCTAGGCAAGAATAGATGAAGACTAGAAGTGAGGTTGTGGGGAAGAAGAGGATAGACTTCTTGTTAGGTGCCCTCCAGTCGACTTCGACTCATAGTGACCCCATGTGACATAGCAGAATTGCCCCATAGGGTTTTCTTGCCTGTAATCTTTACAGAAGCGTATTGCCAGGACTTTCACTCAAGGAGCTGCTGGGTGGGTTTGAACTGTCAGTCCTTCTATTAGCAGCCAAGCACTTAATTGTTGTGCCACCAGGGCTCCTTGAGGTTAGAATAGTTGAGCAACATTACAAAGGTAGTAACATCAATCAACAGAATAGCTGATATGGATATGGAGGAGTAAGATAGAGGAAAGAGGTAAGGCTGACTCTCAGATTTACAGTTTAGATGACTAGGTGACGGTGAGGAGGAAGAGAAAGAATGAATTTAATTGGGGGTGTGTGTGATAATGAGCTCCATTTTGCACATGCTGAGTTTGAAGGTGACACCTCCACAGAGAGAAACCTTGTAGGCAGATGCATGTATAAGTTAGGAGATATGATCTGGGGAGTCAGCAACAACAGGGTGGTTGTTATCAACAACTATGTATGAATGTTATATGTTAGGCCAGGATGGAAGAGAACACTGAGTAGTGCAAACAGATAATCTGATGAAATGGTTTAAGAGTGTTTTTCCTCTCTCATTTTGCTGTTATAACGTTATTTGCATAAGATTTTTAAAGCCTATCACAGCTTAAGGGTAAAACAACAAACAAACAAAAACAAAGGCAGAACCTAGTCATACAACTCTTTAACATAAACCATCCCGCATTATTACTGCCTGAACTTGGGGAGTGAGGTTGGATCCTGCCTGAAGAGGTGGGAGCGCTAGGAGGCGCACATAAATAACACCTGGAAGCCCTTAGACTGCCTAGCTGGGAAACAGGAAGATTTGGACATAAAAGAGTATTAGGAAATTTCTACAATTATGTGAACATGAAGCCATGTAGTTCAGGTGCGCTTGGTGTATTCATCAAAACCTGGGGAAAATGAGCATTTCTGCCATTCTTTTGGGCATGTTTATAAGATCTTCAAATATCTATTAACATAAGCTTTCTCTCGTTTTCAAAATTTACATTTTTTTAATAGAATAATTCTGTACTTATTGTAATACAAAAAAACCAAACAGCATACAAACACATGAACTAGAAACCATTCATGGCCTGAGCACACATTTTCCCATACCGGATACATCCCAGGTCTTGAAGCTGTATTCTGCAATCTCGATGATTCCTGGGGTGGTGGATGGTCAGGCATCTGTGGCTCAGACCCAAAGTCTTTCATCTTTTGAAGCTGTTCTTTCTGTTCCCTGTAAACAAATAAAACAAAATTCCCATTGCATATAGGCACTGCTACTCCGTTCCTACATGACTACGATTAACACTAAAGGAGAAAAAAAGACCTAAAAACCTTGTCCTAAAACCCTCTATAGTGCCCAGAGAGTACCCCTAGAGAAACCTTCTCTTGCCATTATGTAGCTAACTGATCAGTCCTAAGACCTATAGAGAACTATAAATTATTGAACATCTCCAAGGACGGATTCTACAACCTGCCTCAGTAGTCCATTTTAGTATCTCATCTACTTGGTCATGGTTTTCTCTCATCTAACCAAAAGGTCTCTTGTTTGTTTCTTTCTATGTTCAATACTCCTTATACCAGAGGCTGCAAAATGGTGGCTTACCGGTCAAATATGACCTAGAGAGGTTTTTTCATTTGGCCTTCACATCAGTTTTTTAAATTTGAATTTGTTGCTGTTGTTTATAAAGCAAAAAATTTCATCTCTAAATGCAAATTTTTAAAGAGATTTGATAACACTGGGCCTAATTCCCACACGCCAACAATTAGGTGGAGTGCAGTGGCTGCCCACTTTAGGTGAAGCAGTTTGCCACACTCCATACCACACTCGACTGACAACACCTGGCCCACTTTCACTCATTTTTGTTACTTGTCTGGTTTATGTGGGCATTTTAGTTTATAAGTCCTGCTGTAGATGGTAAGAACAATTGTCAGTATATACTGTTAAAAAAACAACACTGCATATTCCTAAAGAGTAATTAAGTAAACCCTTCAGGGTTGGTTTTTTTTTTTTTTTAATCTCTGGTCAAATTTTCCTTACAATGCCTAACCTTAAAACATGTAACATTTACTGCAACCTCTTCAGACCTTTTACAACTTTCTCCCTACATTCTGTAAAGTGTAGAACCCAAATGGACAAAAAAATAAGGGTGAGGTATATCAGAAGATTATTTTCTGCCTCATCTAAATCATATTCCTTATGATATTCCTTATGACTGTACACTGAAAGCATAGGCTACTTGTATTCAACTATGACCACTCTTATTCAGCACTTCCTATATTTTGTTTAATTGTGTTTCTGTTGCCTAGAAGAGCTTTTTAAAAAAGTGATGAAGGGAAGCATCTTTTATCTAGCATTTTTATGCAAAGCAATAATGGATGAAAATGATGTTTTAAAAAGAAAGGGACAGAAATCCTGGCAGTTTAGCAATATAATCAGCTTAGTGCTCTCCATAAACAACACAGATTTTAGAAATGGACAGAACTGGGTTCAAATCCTGGGTCTGTCCCTTAATAACCAAGTGAACTTAACCTCTCTAAGCCTTAGTGTCCTCCCTTGTAAAGTGGAGATAATACTACTTATCATTGCAGGCCTTTGAGATACAAGGATTTGAGATAGGAGGATTGAGATAACATATGCTAAATGATTAGCACAGCACACAGCAGGTGTTCAATTAAAAATACCTATAGTATAAAAGTGAATAGTGTAGTAGCTGACTATTCTATGGCATGCTTTCCACATCTTCTTCATGAGGAATCCAGAAAAAAATACACCTCTCAGGGCAAACCCTCTATAGACCCTGGAGATAGGTTTTGCTGCCTAAGGTACTTGGTCTTTCATCTTTACCTTAAGCTATTTTTTTATCATCATAGTTTTCTAATCCTAAAGTTTCAATTATAATTTCAATTTGTATAATTCACAAATGCAGGTCAGAATTGACAAATGAAAGAAACACAGTACACTGAAACCTATCAAAATCTAACTGTTAATTTATTTTCTCAAAACACTACTAATTCCTAAGAAACTGCTACAAGAAACCCACTCTGTCACTGACTCCTAACTTCCTATCCTTAGGACGTAGTCAATTTAAGTGAGGTATTAAACGAGTTAATATACACAAAGCACTTTGGTACAGTTCCTGGCACACAGTAAGTACACAATAAATGTTAGCTTTTGTTGTTATTGCTACAACACAGGAAGCATTATGTAGATACCTATACATAGTTACTTGACTGTAAGGAAAGAAATCCAAATTCTATTCTCTAGCTCACAAAGAAAATATTTGATTATGTAGAAACAAGCAACATCCTCAAGCAGATATCTACTTCAAGTCATAATGAAAGGTAAAACATCCCAAAAAGAAAGTATCAATGGTTAGAAGAATCTGAGGACACTCCCAAGTAAAAGCATTCTTAGCTTCCAGAGAAAACCATAAATCCTTGACAGCACTCTTCAAAATTATATCAAAGACTAGTGAACATGAAGTCTGTCAGATCTAATACCAAAGAACAAACGGACTGCTGGGAAAAATGGAGGCCACATATGAGCCCTGTGAAATCCAGAGCACTGGGAAGTTCAACACTTCAAACATGCACAGACATGGCAGGTCAGCAACACAGCTGCAAAAGCCAAGAAGGGCTATCAATTTTCACATTTTGGGGCGTAAGTTTATAATTAACACAGTTCCTAAATACCTATCTGAATTCTAAAACAATACTGAATGACCTGAAATATAAATTAAAACTATGTGATAAGAACTTCAAGTAAAACGATTCCACTCAAATATATCACATCACTTTAAAAAGAACAGTGTGAACGTGGTTTTGACTAAAAGAAATTATCTTAAGTAGTCAACTTACCGAAGCATTTTCAGTTCTTGTGCAGCCTTCAAAATGATTTCGTGCTGCCTCTGACTGAGAACCATTACCCCTCCAAGGCCTTGGTCAGAATCTAAGTTTGCATCTGACCCCATCATTTCAGAGGAATGATGTGAGGAGGGCATATGTTCCGCCATGGGGGAATGTCTATCCACATCAGATGGGTACCATCTGTCTGACAACCGTTCTCTTTCCCAGTCCATTCTGTCAGGAACATAATCTCGCTTTTCCCGCCATGTATCTCCTCTTTCTGGATACTCTCGAATCCTCAACTCACCCCTATCACGGAAATCTCGATCATAACCATGGTCTCGATTTCTTTCTTCTCTCCATCTATCATCCCGATATCTATCCAAAGGTGGAAGAGGTGGGAGGTTTGGTAAAGATGGAATAGGTGGAATATCCCGTTCATGAAACTGTGATTCTTGTTCATCCAGTGGTCTCCCATAATCTCTGTCCCATTCATTATCCAAATTTCTATCATACATATCCATGGGTCTTCCAATCCGATCCACATCTCTGTCCAAGTCCCTGTCCATTTCCCTATTGTAGTCCTCATCCATATCCTGATCCCTTTCCCAATCATCCCACCAAGGGCCTCGCCTCTCTCCATCATGAGACCGAGGTGGTGGTGCTGAAAATCTGTCCTCTCTGTTATATTGATCTATTGTATCATCCTGATACTCATGTTCACTCTCTCTCCAGTATCTATCTCTATCCCAATCATCAAGTCTTTCTCGTTCCATCGGAGCATTTCTACCATCTAATGGGAATTCCTCATGCCCTCTCTCTTCTCCATGGTTCCATGGAGCCCTAGGAGGCTCATCTCGGTGATATGGATACATTTTTTCCCCACCATCTCCTGGTTCTGGTCTGTATGGACCTCTATCACGACCAAAATCTGGTCTTCCCAGCCCCCTTTCCCGACTGCCAGGCCCTCGAGGTGGTCCCCTTTCCCGGCTCCCAGCTCTTCGGGGTGGTATTCTCTCCCTACTCCCAGCCCTTCGAGGGGGTCCTCTCTCCTGACTGCTAGCCCCCCTTGGTGGTCCCCTTTCTCGGCTGCCAGCTCTACCCCTCTCCTGGCTGCCTTGTAAACCACCTGGCACTTTCTCCCGACTGCTTCCTGGCCTCACTAACCCTCTGTCCCGGCTGCCTTCTCCTCTGCTCATCTTCTCTCGACTGTCTTCTCTTCTACCCATCATCTTATCATGAATATCTTCTTGCTTGACCAACCCTGGGCCCCGGCTGATTGCCTGGCCTCGACCTCTGTTTACCAGTCCTTTATCCCGTGTGTCTTCCATTCTGCTTTGCCCAGGACCTCTGTAAGATGAACTGCTGCCACGACTGCCTTCTAACCTGTTATCTCTGTTATCTGGCCGAGGCAGCCCTTTATCTTGGTTGTTTTCTGAATGGGACAGAACAATACCCATGGATTTAAAATCATTATCTGTAGTTAATGACGACGATGTTGCTACTGCTGCTCCTCCTCCCTCTATCCCCCCTGCTGTTGAAGGAAAAGTAGATTGAGAAGGTACAGGTTTATTTGCAAGGGGTACAGGCTGAGTAACAGCTTGGGCTTTGTCCATTTGGGCCTCCATACATTGAGAATTCTGGTCCCAGTTAGAAGGCTCTATGGGCCCTTCCGAGACTTCACTTTTAGGTGGCTCTTGTTGAGAGTCGCTTAGATTCTCATTTGACTGAGCCACCTTGGCATCCTTTACATCTGCAGTAATGGAAAATGCAGCAGATTGCATTTTAAAATTCTTCTGCTGGTTACTATTGGTATCTGCTAATGGTTCTTTGTTTCCTGAAAGAGGTTCTGCTTGTGACTTAGGAGGCTGCTGCTGATGTTGCTGTCCAAAAGCTGGTTTGGAGCCTTGCCACTGTGGTCCACTCTGTCGAGGACTTAGGGATGTATTGGGGGTAATATAAAACTGAGATGCTGGCCCCCGGGGAATCATTCCCCATTTGCTTTTAGTGCCCTCTGTTGGGTGACCTTCATATCTGGGTCTTGGCCCATCGGGGCGATTTCCTTCAAAACGAGGCCCTTTGGGTCTCGGTCCTTCACACCTTGACCCTAAATCCTCAAATCTTCGAGGACCATCAAATCTACAAGTAAAACAAAAGATATTACTCAAGACAGTAAAGCAGGAAAAAAATATTCTCCACGTACGAAAATTTAAGGCAGTCTTGCCTTAGAATCTGTTTACAACAATGACTCTTTCAGTCATTAACAAATCCGAGCCACCCGTATCTTAAAACCAGTATACTAAAGTAGCAGTGCTCAGAAGGTCTTAGGACAGGCTTTGGAAATCACGTCAGTATTATCTAATTCAGTTGGACACATACTGTGCAGCAAGTCACTGATAAACGGAATTGTTTAAAAGCAATTATATTTGGAAACAGAGTGGTGATGGTTGCACAACATGAGGAATGTAAAAAATGCCACTGAAATGTACACATAAAAATGGTTGAAATGGCAAATGTTTTGTTATACACATTTCACCACCAAAAAAGAAAACAATTATAAGTATTGTGTCTTGGTAGACAGAAAAGCCTACTCATTTTAAACAGAAAAAAAAAAAAAAAAAAAAATTCCATGGCTAACTCTGAGAGTACTTTTAGAATTAAAATATACCTAAAAACTAAATATGAAACAATTAATAAGAAAATAAAAGATGATTATAAATATTGTTAGAGCTGGCATTAAGATTTTGAGTAACCGACAAAAGTTTAAAAAACAGCAGCGCATTGTAAAAGTGTGCTTTGACTTTTTAAAAAGTCTGGATAGAGATGTTTTTGCTGTGGACTCACTCATTCACTCAGTAAATATTTAGTGCACACACTCCATCTGTCAGGCACCACACTATGTCCAAGAGAAATACACATAAAATATCATCTGTGCTCTGAAAGAATTTATAATCCAGCAGAAAAGGAACCTAAGTATAAATAACTGTAAAAGGTGTCATGATTAAGTCTATCTGTGTACAATAAGGGCAACAGAGGAGAGAATACTCAATTCTACTAGGGTGAGGGCGGTGTTGTCCAAAAATAGAAGATGCTTATATTAAGTCTTGAAAGACAAACTCTCTGAGATCACGCCAACGGACTGTGCTGAAAATGAGGGTAGTAAGCTGTAAAGGATCTCATACCGAGGAAGCATGAGAAACACGTACCAGTACAGCATGTTTGAAAGTACAAATAGTTTGGCATAGCTCAAGCAAAGGGGAGACAGAGTAGGAAAAGCTGGGAAAGAGGAAGGAGTGGAAAAACAGCACACCAAAAGATAAGGTAAAGAGGCAGGTAAGGGTCAATCCCCAGAAGACTTTGTCTGCCTTGTGTGACAGAGAGTGCTGGTGGCCTTCCAATATCCACTCCCCCTTTTTCGATAGTAATAGAGCTCTCTTATTTTTAGCTGGACATAATGCTGCCCAAACTTAAGACTCCACTTCCTCTCTTGCAGCTAGGTGTAGCCAAGTTCTGGCCAATGGGCTGAAATGAAATGATTTATACAACCTTCTGGGTGGTACCCTTAAAGAGAAGGGCACATTTTCCTCTTCACCATTTCCTTTTTCATGCTGCCTACAATTTTGACATGGTAGTGAAGCATTTTGGACTACCTGGCTAAGGGCTCCATACTAGGGATGGTGAAACAACAAATCAGAATCTGGATTCTAGATCTTGTGGAGCCATTATGTAAGTCCTGAGAAAAAAATAAACTTCTAACTTGTTAAAGCCATGTAACTTTGGATCTCTGTTACAACAGTTAAATTAATTCAGCTGGTTAAGGAGTTCGGAATTATCTTATAAACACTGAGAGCCACTGGATTTGGTCTGATTTTTAAGATTGTTCTGGCAGAAAAGTAATGGATAGAGAGGAGGACAAAGTTTAAAGATGACTTCTACCGTTTGGGTGAGTGAAGATGATGCCTGGCCTAAGGCAGTGACTAATATGAGGATGTAGAGGAGGGGATAAAAGAAAGAGATGTGAAGAAGGCAGAACTGATAGGATTTGGGAGTAGGTGGGATTAAAATGATAACGGAAAGGGAAAATGTAGAATGCAAGGTTTCTGGCTTAGATGACTGAGTAGACAATGATACCTTTCATGAGGAACAGAAGGGTTTTTGTTTCATTTGTTTGGGAAATCAGTGAAGAGTAATAAATTCCACTTCAGTATATTTTTTCTTCTCATCCCTGTGACTTTAGGCTTTGCTGGTCTTGAAGTCTTAGTTCCAAAGGGAGGGGTACTTCTACCAGGGGACACAACAATGATTCTAGTGGACTGGAAGTTGAGACTGCCATCTGGCCATTGTGGGTTCTGAATCAACAGGCAAAGAAGGGGCTTCCTGCACCGGCTGAGGGTGATTGATTCTGGCTTTCAAGGGGAAACTGGGTTACTTCTACACTATGGGTAAGAAAGGGTCTATCTGGAATGCAGGAGATCCTCTAGTACACCTCTTAGTACTTCCATGCTTTGTGATTAAAGTCAATGGAAAACTACAATAACCTAATTCAGGCTGGACTTCTAATAGCCCAGACCCTTCAAGAATTTAGATCACTCCACCAGGCAAGGAACTATGACCAGCTGTGATGTTTGCTGAGGGCAAAGGGAATATGGAATGGAAAATGGAAAAAGGTAGTTATAAATACCAGTCACTAGCCAGTGATCAACTGTAGAAATAAGGACTATAACAGTTAAAGAGTACATCTACTCCTCACTTATCAACATGGTTAGGTTCCGAAGGCCAGGCTGTTATGCAAAAATTAGCGTTATGCGAAAATGGAGGATGATCACATCAGATCACAAAATGGAGAATGACTACATTATTACAAACTGCCAAATTATAGCATTACATAACTGCCAAACCACTGAGAATTATGGCCCAGCCAAACTGACACACAACCTTAACCATGACAGCCAGCGTGACTCTTACCTTGCACCCTGGCATTCGTTACTGCCAGTCATACGTTGTTGATGGGCAAAATAGTTGGACAGCAGATTTTTTACTATTGTTGTAAATGTGAAATGTCAGATAATGAGACAGTCAGTAAGTGAGGAGTAGGTGTATTTCTTCCTTAATTTGATATCTATGCATTTTAATACATACACACATACATACATATTAAACAAATATTTAACTTTGGTTAATTTGTTTTCTTTCCTATCATCTAACATAAAATGTGCTAATAATAATAACTTAATATCCCAGCATTTAAGTTACAGAATATCAAAGAAAGAGTGTGAATCAACTAGGAGAAGAATAATGATTCTATCCCAAAGAAAAAAAACGGACTTTGTACCCTCTTTTGAGGAAAGAGGGTGTTTTTGGTTGCCCGGGGATAACTGTATCATGTTAGTTGCAAAAATCTCCCTTGTAGCCCACCTTAATTAGGAACATATAAGAAAAGGAATTCTGGGAAATGTAGTTCAGCCTAGTCAACTTGCCACATTACAAAGCTATCACAAGAAATTTAAAAATACATAAACCCACACAACACAGATGAGTTATAGGATTTGGAAATAGGTTATAGGTTACCAGCTGATGAACATATTTTCTTTAACTTGGAAGACAAAAAACGAGTATGAGCAGTAACTTATGGAGCAAGAAGAAGAGTAGTTTAAGAGTACTGGTTACAGAGAGGATACAATCAAAATACGGCTGGACAGAAAGGTTCAGGATTCTCACATACCAGGGATGCTGGGGAAGGACAGGAATAAGACTTGGGAATGAAAAAATATAAATTAAAAGTCTATATTCACAGCTATCAACCAGCCTCCCCCTAGGGTGACTATCTCTAAGTTCTTGTATTTGTGGGTCTTCTACCATTAGCAGTCAGCTGTCTAACCTACCACTTAAAAGCAAAGTCTGACAGTTGACAAGTCCTTCACACATATACAGAGCTCCCAAACAGCTAGTCAGTGTCTCCCACTCTTAACTAAAAGTGGACCCCAAGGATCACTAGATATTTGAGGAATGTCTCCAAAATGAAAAGGAGAGATCAAAGATAAACAGGACATGGATCTGGAAAAAACAGAGATAATGAAAAATCAGAACAGAACTTAAAAAAAAAAAAAAAACTCAGATGGGTATCCTCAGAGGTATTCTTAAAGATATTGTACTCCTAAATTAAGAACCAAACCCACTGCCATCAAGTCGACTACAACCCATAGCAACCCTATAGGACAAAGTAGAACTGCCCCACAGGGTTTCCAAGGAGCAGCTGGAGGATTCAAACTGCCGACATTTTGGTTAGTAGACCAGCTCTTAACCACTATGCCACCAGGGCTCCAAATCAAGAACAATTTGCTATATATAAAAGAGAACCAGAACCAGAAGAACTATAGAAAAAATAAATTAAGTTCTCAAAAAAACCAAAACCAAAAAAAAAAAAAAACCTGCAATAAAAGGATTAGAAATTACAGTATCTTAGAAAGTACAACAAGGTAAAAGAAAAAAATAAGACACAAAGATAACCTATCCACCAGGTCCAAAATCCTACTAAAGAGGAGTTCCAGAAAGAGGAGAAAAAATTAGTGAAGAAATTTCATTTCTGACAAAGAAATTTCCAGAGTTAAGAGAGACTCCAATCTCCTGAAAGGGCCCAGCACATTGAATATCCAGTACAATTAATAAAACTAAAAACAAAAGAAAAAAAAAACAAAACCATGACACATTACTGTGAAATTTCAAGTACCAAGGATAAAAAGATTCTAAAAGTTTCAGGCATTGGGGGAGACAGATCACACAAAAGGAGAAAAAATAAGAACAGCACAACAGCTATACTAGGTGACAGAAGAAAATAGAACAATGATCCTAAAACCTGGAGAAAAAAATACATTCAATTTCAAATTCTATATCCAAATTATTAATCAAGCATGAGGTTGGAATAAAGACATTTTCAGATATGTGAAGGACTCAGAAAATTTACTTCCCATCCACACTTTCTTTGTAAGTTACTTGAACATGCTCTTCCGGAAAAGGAGGCAATAAACAGGAAGATATGAGATTCAATAAACAGTGAATCCAATCTAGGAGGATATTTAAGGGAAAAGCCATAGTGACAGTCACACTGCAGATTTTGAAAGCAAACAACTAGCCAACCAGCC